TTTTGTGCTACGTTCACGTGAAGGCTGCTGCCGCGCTTGTTGCATCTCGGGCATATGAGATTCGAATCATTGAACAGGAACATCTCTGAGGGGGACAGGTGGTCTCGAATAGAAATATTCCACAAAAAACAGTATGACACACCATGACCACATGGTGCACGCAGATATTCTGTATCCGTCTTCGGGGTATGGAGTGCATGTACAAGACCAGCAAGCCTGGGTAAGCTGCTCGCTGAAAAGTTTTTGCAAGTGTGAAGAGCCTGAATGAAGAAACACCCGGAATTTCTTTGCCCTTCTCCTTCATGACTTGCAGTCGGTCAATAAATCTTACGAAAGCATATCTCAGTGAGCATCTGAAGGCAAGAAAAAGAGTGCTTTATCAAGCTGTGGACCTTGAGAAAAAGTTTTTAGTGGGACGCGACTTGCGAACGGCTCCCATGTGAGATAGAAACCTTTCCTTTCATCTTTTCTTCTCTTGTAGCAGATACAACCCAGAGTATGCATTTCAAATACTCAAGTTTTCCTTTACAGGCATGCAAGAATCTTTCGCCCTTCATGCTGCCCTTGTTCCCGATCACTCAGCCAGCTGGGAGGACGATCAGAGAGTCGTCACCTCAACATGGAACACATTTGCAGCCGACAGCACCATCACACACTTCACAGCAATCGTCAAGGGACCAACTGACGCAGCTTGTACTTAGTACAACCAAATCTACTTAAATACGCCAAATATGTTGCTTTATTTCGCTTACAATAAAATTCTAGTCTAATAACGCTCAGATGGATAGGACAGTATGAGCAAAAAAGAGCGCTTATTTAAATCAGAGATCTCTCCAACGAAGTGGGGAAGAAGGATGTGGTAAGTCACCGACACTGGATGTATACTTGGGGGGGGGGGCGCGGGCAATAAAAACCGGCACCTTTCCTTCTCGACTTTCATGCTATAAGGCTATAAGGTACACTTCATCAAATTCTAATAAGGTACTACTTTATTCATCAATTTCTAATTGGACGTTTCCACCATCAAATTCAACAAAACATTGTACACTATCACGGTACTCCGCCACAGCCTTCTGGACGAGCGCCAACGAGAGATTCTGCCAGAGTCCAGCGAGGTCTTTGGTTTCTCCGTAGAACACCCTGTTGAGCTCCGCTCAAGCCCGGTGATGGGGGCGGTTTAGGTCAGGTGACACACTTGAATATTCCGTCTTCTTCAGGTACTCAACGCCCTTCGATTCCATGTGCTGGCACCCAATCCTGTAGCAGTACAAAGTTTCCAAGATGGTACGGGCGACGACATGAAGGCAGGATATTCTCCTCGAGTTGCTCGATGTAACCGTCAGCGCTCACCTCCGGGGTCCACGAAGAAAATATCGGTCTTCCCATCCCAGAAACTTCCGGTCATACCTCGCGCAATAGCGACAGCGGTGAAGATGATATCCGGGACCGCGACGTTGTCGGAGCTGTTCGACGTTGCAGGTCTTCCAGAACAAGAGTGTCGGTCTCCAGGTAGCTGTCCAGGGGTTCCATACAAGGAGGAGAAGTGACGTAAATTCCATAGGCCTTTTTCAGTTTGGCTGCGATTGGAGATGACTTCATATTTTGGTGTACATGAAGGTGATGGGCGAGAGCCTGCTCCTGCTTATCGAGGAACATCTTGGGTATCTTCCGCCCTGGTACTCGTATCCACGTCTTCTATCTGGGCTGCGAAACTTTACTGATATGTGACTCGGCCAAAGCGTCTCTTTTTCATTGCCCCCTCCCCTGTAGTTCCACAACACAAAAAGGCTTCAAGTATCCGGACAGTCCGCCAAGTATAATTATGGATGCCATAATTATGGGGACATGAATCAGAGCACATCATGGTAGTGAAAAGCACAGTGACGATCAGTTTTGACCGCTGAAGAAGGTGGCTGCATTTCATTCAAGAGCGTTCATTTATTTTCATCTAGTTATTATTCGTTCCCGTTCCACTCGTTTATTATGTACACTTCATACTATATCTAAGGTATGAGCAGAGCGTGGCTGCGTATTTCATTTGTCAGGGCTGTTGTTGCCTCCAATGGATAGTCCCCCCGAGAAATGCGTCCTGCGCCGCTTTGAAATGAAATACGCAGCCTCACCCTTTCCAACTCCGTGATATGGACTGTACCTGGACTATTTGGTGTGGCACCGAAATCGCCATACCTGACAGCTGATCGAAGGTGCCTCTCTTGCTTGTCGAGGGCTGGGTTTCAGGGGGAAGCATGGTAAAAGCGTTGGGAAGTTGTGAAAGGGGTCGTACTGTTGAGGGAATCTGAGCACCGATCTGACACTGCCATTTTTCGTAATAAAATGATGTACCATGACATGAATTCCAATCCAGTGTACAGATGATAACGCCGCAGCCAGTCGGGGACGTTCCAAGAGGGTTATGTTGAGTCCAACCGCGGCGTCTTCACCACTGCTTTGTTAATAACTCGATCCCTATCCTGTCACCATTGGTAGATCAAGGTAACCTGAGGCGGGCTCATTCCGCCCCTCCTGCTCTCGCCCCGACTGATTGAGGCGTTAACAGCTGCACTTTAATTTGCTGGCCTGCTACGACACTGCAATTCGGGTGTGAATGCTCATAGAAACAGTTTGCACTCACGGAAACAAGAGGTGGGAGACGATCTGAGAGAAATATGTGAACCACGAACTCTTTCGTATGCGCCATGCGCCGTATTCCCATTTAGGATCACAGCTACACGTAGCTATTTGTATTGACATTTGCTGAGAATACATTT